GGCTGTAAACAGCACCTTGTTGGATGAATTCTGTAAAACACAAGATGGTAAAGCTCATCCCTTCCACGAGGTCAGTGGCTAATTTAGGAGAGCGACTAACGCTTAAAAGAGAATTCAAAATTAGGTTTCTTTTACTGAAATAAACTTCTGCTACAACAGATTAGCATCATAACTAGCTGAAAGGCAGTTTCGTACCATTTATGTGGCACCCTGCCGGATCACACCGACTATAGAAACCTTCAGCAGTGACGACGGCGACACCAAGGACGACGCCTAGCAAGTACAAAAGGGATTTATATTTTACCTTTGAATTTTGCAATTATCTAGATATCCTCAGCCCGCTGATCAGTTTAAAAACCCGCTCAAACTAAATATGTAACTCCGGCGATCAACTCCAATAGAAAATACAAAAAATTAGTCGTTATGGCTCGCGTTCTACAAAATACCCAGAACTTGGCCCTTTCACGTTGTTGTTTTGCAGAGGACGGCTAAGAAATACACAAGGAATTATAACGCACGTGCACAGCCATTGTACTGGTCATTAAATCTTTTGTTTGGTATCGTTCCCGTTGCTGTTGTCGTCGTGGTTTGCTTAAGCTCCCTAATAACACATTTGGTGCCCCCCTCCCCACCCCTCCTCTCGAATTCCAAACAAAAAGCGAGAAAAATCTGAGCTGCTTAATATTATCTCATGTGAAAACTTTTTTGTTGCCATTTGTGTCCATTGAATAGATTCAAACAAGTCTATGGGAGATTCTTAAGTCAATACACGATGTAAGCGCTGGCAATTCATTAGACATGTCTTCAGTGGCAGATCTAATGGACGGGCGTCTTGTCCATACTCTCTTCTGCCTTGCCTTGGATCAAAGATCTATGGGAGTGGAAGGTTTGTCACGATATAGACTACCTCATTTATTGTAATTAATGGCAAGGCATATATATAATTGGTAAATATGGAGATATGGATATATGTAGATATGGATTATGGATATTTTGAGTAATAGAGACCCCTGACAGAAGGGGAATCGTCTGCGTCTTTCATGAAATATCTAGTTTTCTGCAGTTTTACTATTCAATTATGTAGCGACGAACAAAAATTCTCGTCCCAAAACCAAATCTTTACTTCTTTGGCGCGATTTTGTGGAAAAAACTTCATCTATCACTTTGCAAATCATCAACCTTTATCTTCGGAAATCTACGGAAATTTTCAGAAAATGTTCAGAAACGTTCGTCTGACCTTCGGATAAATTTGGGACTTCGGAAAGTGGTCAGAAATCTTCGGAAAATCGCCAAAAACGTCGTTACTTATGAGAATTTTATACAATAAAAAGAAAAATACATGGTCGCTTAGAGATACGAAATTTCTCTTCGAGTGTTTAAAAATATTTCACGAGTGAGCGCAGCGAACGAGGGAAACATTTTTCAAATATCCCCGCGCGGCCAGGTAATATCCTCTATTTATACACAGTAAAAATTCATTCAGCACAATTTAAAAGTATAATATCTAAGTCTACCTAGCTAAACTAACTAATAATTAATATAGTATCATAATAATAAAAACCTCTCATACCACTAGAGTTGCTTTTCAAGGATACCGTGTCTCATTCAAAGCGGTAATGAAGCAGTTTGCGTTTAAATTCCTTTAAAAAAGACTGTAGATTGAAGTTCATGGTTGATGAATATTCATGGTAAAAATCAATTTTTTTAATCTGTTTTGCTTCTCGATCTGCACCAGGCCTCAGTTTGCCAGAGGATATGATCAAAGAAAC